AACAAAATTGCTTGTCATTTAATCAGATTTCTGTCTTTTACAAGATATTAGTTTGAACAAACTGTTTTGAGTAAACGTAATAAAAAGGAAAACTGGGGACAAAATAAGCATTACAAAATATATATGCAGCATAAAACACAATTTAATCGGGAACGTGTTAGTTTCGTATTCCAGCCATGTAAATTTAATTTGCCAATAAGTAAATTTAGACGCTTAAAATATTTATAGTTAGCAAAGACGACCGAACAGAAACCCGTAGAAAATGTGCTATATATATATTGTATAGAAAAGGTATGGGATTTATTATTACTTTATTTTCTCAGAAAACAACAATGGTGTTAAAATATCAACAGAAATAAATGTAAACTTCAAATGGCTATCTTTTAAATTACAATTGATCGAATTTGTTAATCTGTCCAGTAATAGTAACAGTACTTCAGTCTGAGTATTGACTCTGTGGACTCCATACACAACAGTACTGAAAACGTTTATTAGCTATATGACTCCTCAATTGAGAAGTGGTATCAGGTATTCTCAAAAAAATAAGCATATACTGCGCCATGCACTACACTATACGTATAACTAATTGAAGCGTTTGACTTTTGTTGTACATTATGTAACTATGCCTAAATAAAAAATATGTATAATTTAGTAATTTTTTTTTAATTTTTTTTTTTGAAAAGAAAACCTTGACTTTTTATTAGAAAATGTAGAAGGCCGCGTCAATTTGACCTTCAAATGTTGTTATACGTAACTAAGATGGAGGATAGAACCTACATACATGTATACCACCAAAATAATATGACTCATGTATAAATGCAGTGTACAATTTGTTTAATTATACATCATTCGGAGTTATTATATGCATAATAAAGTGTGAAACAGATACTTTAATTAATATCGGCCTTTATATTAAAGTTATTATATCTACACATATGTAATATAGTATTACTTGATCGTGACGTTATTAAAATAGCATAATTTTAACTAATTACTGAAGTCCTCTGTAAAACATGGTTAAAACGGATGAGATTTAGCGTATGTTCAGTGTCAGTCGTATCTAGATGTTAACGTTATATTTGAAATAAACTGGTTTGTACTCTAGGACCGACCTTTCCACAGCCTCCGGCCAGGGGATTGACTGTCATAATAATATTTTAAATACAGGCTTACCACTCCAAATCCGATTATCCAAACGGAGTTATGGAATTGAACAGGAACAGTTTTTCTGGGGGGTGTTATTTCTCGTAAGGGTCTGGTTTAGTTACGCATCAGATACAACACTAGTCACATAGGTGTGGCAAAAAATGTATCACGAGAAATTTTAGAACGGTATTCGTTTTGACTGACACCTAGACAGGTCTCGTTATGCCCTTGCAAGCGCCCACCATAATGGAAACATTGTCGATGTTGATCCTGGATCAAGTAAAAACATAGGCTTGGCTTGGCATTCCCGATCAGGCGCCCACAATAGCGACAAAATCATCGGCACTGGTCCTGTCCGCCGATCAAGTTTTAAAGCCACACCTCCAATTTTACACAAATTCCTGCAATTTGACCTCTGTCCTGTGTATTTCGTTCACAAACTTCAAATGTTAAAGCGTAACACTCCGGGATCGAAAAGTTCTGAATATTGATAGGGTCCCCCGAGAACGACCCCTGTGTATTTAAAAATAACAAAACGCGAAAATAAAATTGTCCCGGGCGTCTTTTATCATTCATTAAGTTAACTGGAGTGGTTTCAGTTCCTAGCTTGTACGTGAGAAAGAGTAGAGTCGCCTGTCCAACCTCTTGGGTTTCCCCCGGGTCCTCTGGTTTCCTCCCACTGCTAATAATACGCGCAAGCTATGTATTGAAATGTGTCGAGTGGACGTTAATCCCCTATTTCTTTGGGTACATGCCCAACCCCCAGGGACAAAGCCACGCCCATTTTCTTTTTTTTATGTCTGTGTGTCGCCTACAGGCCACAATTCTTAATCAATCGTCTTGAAAAATTTTCTCTATTGCCGCGACAGAAATACGAAGTCGGCTAAAATTGCAACCCTCGAAGCAGGGGCGTACATAACGATTTTGTTCGGGGGGGGGGGGGGGCGGTAGCCCAAATGCTACCGACTGATACACATGCCCCTAGTACGAGTGACGCAGTACAGTAGCTGATCTAAAAGCTGGGAATAGGAGGGGGTGGGGCGGTTCCAAATCTAGGGCGCCTTCCACAATCCCACCCCACAATAAATGTCAACAAAATACTGGCTATAACATCGAACGTCCCGGTAGAACATAGATAGTATTGTACACCGGTAATTATATAGTACGTACGTTGTTCGCCGATCGTTGCCTCGCCGGATAGCAGTTTTATTTAAGTTGACATAAAAGTTCATGTCATATGATGATTGTGGCTATAACACTGAGAAACCTGAGAAATTTGGAAAAATTGAGTCAATATCCTGGCATAGCGGGTCATTGCTGGGAGAAATTCTTGTGGACCAGAAATGTGAGTTAATGGGACAGAATCTCGAGATCTGTCCCTGTCCATTTCGCCTGTTTTGCAAGAGTTGACAGAACATTTGTACAGTCTGACGCCCCACGACCCACACACCAGTGGTACTAACTGGGCAATTCACTATAACCGTGAATATGATTGTGCTAAGATAGTATAAGACAACAGAGGAGAGGAAAAATGTTATTATGAAGGAATCCAGCGCCAAAGGCTCGAAAATATTTCAGATATGTAACTGAGCTTTTAATTTTTGGGGACTGGGCCTGAAAATTTTAGTCAATGTAATGGCAAATGGAACCAATTTCTCGTTAACGAGAGGATAAGAAATGGGACAGAATTTTGAGGCCAGTCTGTCAATTTCGCCTGTTTTGTGAGAGTAGAAAAAACAATTCTACAGTCTGTCGCCCCATAGACCGGGAGCCAAGGGGGTCAACCTAGCTGAAAAGTGTACCAATTTTCTCCTATATGGTATCAATGTATGTATATCTGGTATCATCAGAATGTAAGTCTGCCGGGTTTCTGGTAGTGGGTGTGGTATTTCACGCCCTAAATGCCATGATCCCCAACTAGGCTAGATTAGCTCAAAAGTGTACCACACGAAAATCTTACTGCAGTGTACCGTACATCTTCAGGTATTACAAAAACACTCATTTTTTTTTTGACAGACATTTCTAGTGGTGGGGTACCCCTGACAGAGCTATGTAATTGCCAGACATTTGTAGTGGTGGAGTATCCCTGACAAGAGTTATCTAATATTTTGACCAAAGCTAGGCTAGATTAGCCGAAATCTGTACCACCTAAAACAGCTTTGGAGTTGTTCAGTACCACCACAGGTGTTAGTATTCTACGCATCCTGGCACAATTTTTAATTTTTTGGACCACAGGAACAGTGCCGACTAATCTATCCTAGTTGGGGGTCGTGTTATTTTGGGCGTGTCTGTTAGGGGCAACCCACTGCACAAACTGTCTGGCAGTGGTCATTCATGATTCCTGTGGTGGTACTGAACAACTCCAGGACTAACACATGGTTAAAATTATATTTCAATAATACGCTTGCGCGTAGGGGTCTTTAGCAGTGGGAGGAAACCGGACGACCCGTAGAAAACCCACGAGGATGGATAGGCGATCCTACTCCTTGTCAAGTACAGTCGGGGAATCGAAACAACGCTAGATCATATGATACAGCGCGCACGTCCTAACCATTCGGCCATCTAACCACCCTTGATTTCAAAAGCAAATCATTTCAGAACGGTTTCGTTTCACTTTCGTCTGCCCCCCACCCGCCACCTTTTAGTTAAATGAAGGCTAGCTGACTTTTAAAAGAAACACATTGATATTAACATGCTCGTGACGCTCAACTGCTATAGTATTACCTAATACAATATCGCCTCGCTTTGTACCCCCCCCCCCTTTCCCTGCACCTCCCCTTCTCAACTTTGCGTGAGTAAATAATATGGGGTACCAGAAAGAAACCAAGGGCACTTATATACCAGTATTCATTTTTTTCTTTTCTGTATAATTATTTCCATATAATACAATTTTAAAAAACATATTATTGTTAAAAATAGTCGGGTGTCCAAATTCGAGTAAGTCGGCGATAGATAATGCCGCTGCCCTGTTGATGTCACTCTTGCCAAGGCTGCGGTGGTATATAAAGCTTACAAAATGAAAAATACCCTGCGTGTTGTATTCCATTGTAGTAAAACACGAGATCTCATATTCCATTGACTTTATTTTAATTCATCTTTCTGCATTTTGAACAAACATCGTATGTAGGTCGATATTCTCTGATATAGATGTTAACTAACATAATGACTATTTGAGTGATTGATATTATTACCATTATGAATAGAAGCTTGCTTTAACTTGTATCAAATTAATTTGGATTTTAATTTTAGTTTCCGACGCATAAGAAGGCATTTGATATCTATTCATATAGTAATAGTTAAACCAAATTTGTCGCCATACGGATGGTCTTGTGAATAACACTATATATAAAGGTGTGTAAGAGATTATGTCGCTCATCGTTCATTCATCCACGCGTTCTCTAATTATATCGTCCGAATAACCACATGTTCTTCCCGTTACAATTTTTACACTACAGTGCCCTAAAATTTACAACTTTGGGCTTATGTAAATTCCTATCGTTTTTAGTATGATAAATACATCAAGTTTTTGCCAGGTATAAGTATGTAATTCATTTATAAAAATTGTAGAAGAAAAGGGACGTTTTAATGATTAAATTTATGTTGTCGATTACTATAGAAAAAATAATATTCTGATGGCAGTAGCCTACTATAATTATTGTCCATTGTTATATATTCTTGATATTAAATTAACAATCAATTAATAAATGAATCGACATAGTTATTACATGGATAAAATTATTAGTTGCTTATTACATGGATAAAATTATTAGTTGCTCATATATGTATACTAATAATGCCCGGTCGACCAATCACTTGAAAGCTATAATGCGCAGGCGCTAGTAGGTATACTACAGTCGCTTCTACTCTCACACATCGCCGACATGTGATCGCCTGAGCATTATTCGTCCAAATGGTGAAACTAAAATAAGGACATAGTTATGGGTTGGTGCCGCTATCGCCTCCTTGTATTGGGGCTACTATTATTAATTGTTCATATGAATTGTGACAGTTGCGGGACTAAATTTGACGACGTTCAGTCCAGTGCGATATTTGCAGATGTCATCTTTGAAGGCACACTGTCAGGTAAAAAACAGCCGGTTGACTCGAGTAATAGGTATAATATAACAGTTAAAGTACACAAAATTCACAAAGGTAAAACATTTTTAATGACAGCGGAGTCTAAGAAGAGAAGGAGATATGTGGAACTCGGTGTATTCGGACCAGAAGACAAATATCTGTGTATCACGGAAATTGAAGAAAAAGTTAAATACCTTTTCTTTACACGGAATACTAGCAGTGAAAGATATTTTGAAGTGAGCGCGTTGCCTATTAAACAAAGTAAAAAATCGAGTCGTGCTGTTCGGAAAATATTGTGTAAAAGATGTGGTAAGTGAATATGTTTGGGTATTTATTTGCATAATATTATTATCTACATGGTAGTTAAGATTGTAAGTAAGGCAGTGCTGTAAAGGAAAAAGTGTAAACCGTGTCTTTTATACAGGTGCGAACTTGTTTGGAACCCCCTGTCAAAAAGACATTGTCGTATTTCTTAGGCTGTGAATATTAAATTTATAAATCATAATATACCTATATATTATTAGCCTTTCAAAGTCAACACTTCCTTGGGTAAACATACTATTCATTATTAGGCTTCGTGTGTGAGTACATTCATTCACTGTCATATGTACACATTTACTATTCTACATGTACCAAGTCTTTATCTAATATGTCTATCTTAGAAGGCATACTTTGATCTATGTTAGAATTATATTATGTAGGTGTAGTTTATCTCCATGTGTACTACTTGTACATACCTTTTACACAAATTTAAGAACACGTGATTACTATTGTTTTTTGCTTCATGCGCGTACACCTTCTACATTTCGAAACCCATGCCTGGGTTTTTAATAATTATTCACGCTAGTGTGAATAACGGTATATTTTCCAGGTACCCTTACTACGTCTTTCAAGACATGAAATAATACCCTACTAATATTCGTGTTGAAAGTTAAGTGTGCATTGCATGCACCCTTTCATTGATCTTTGCACCGACTTTATTATACCATAAAGCACCAAACGTTGGTGACCGGTGTGTATTATAGCCATCCATATTCCACGCTTCCTTGGTGCATTTCTTTTGGAATCTATTTATGTTAGTATTTCTTTTTATTTCTACATCATGTATAAATAGGTAAAATCAATTTTAATCATATTTTACCAAAAGAAAATAAAAAATATTTGGGATATTTCATGTGATTTATAACATTAAAAAAGAAATTACATAATAAAAACCACACAAAAATAGGACACCACAAGACTAAAAAATACAAAGAAACTTAATAAGCTTGACACTTTCTAATAGACACTAATTAAAGATTAGTTTATAACCAATTGTCTTTGAACATTTAAATGTTAAAGACACTCCTTAAGAGATTACATCAAGTACATTATTATATGTAAATGTTTTTATTAAAGGTAAAAATCTTGTGATATGCTAATTAAATAGTTTGTTATTTCTCAAGGCCAAGAGAAAGAGAAGTATTAGATTATAGATAATTAATTATATATTGTTTGATAAATCAAAATTAATCTCTAGATTTCAAAAAATCTGTTATAAATATGATTGTCTTTGGGTTTGAAAGGACATAATCTGGACATTAATACTTAATTTATAGTGGAATCAGAACTAATTTTACCAGCTTATTGGGGCTCAAACACTGATGTCTAGTCCTGTATGCGAATAAAACATCAAATTTGACCTACCAGTGTTTTTTCGGTTAGGACACTCAACTAACGAAGAGGAGGTCCTGGGTTTGAATCCCTGCGTGTGATTTTTCAAGCCCAATTCTCACTTGCCATCAGTGGCATCTGCTGGGATTGAAGTGCAAAGTGTGTCTGGTCAGGCAAATGATACCAAATTTTAAGCCACATGTTTAAATTAATAATAGATTTAAAAGGTCCTTGGGCAGTTGGAATTCAAAGGAGAGTAGGGGGAATCTGGAAATGTCACTGTTAAGGCAAAAAGTCTGATAAATTTCACTGCAGACTCATGAACATAAAATTGGATTAAAAAATGGGTCAAACTGCATGCAAAAGGAGCTTTCATTTACTGTACTAAGCCGTGCAGTTAACTTTCATTGTCTGATTCTAAAATATGATTTATTACAGTGTGTTATTAATTCATATCCATTCAAATATTTGACAATTTGTATTGCAAACACAAAAACTTAGTTCTATGTCAATAACTATTGGTTCTAATATCCATAGAATGGTTGGATATCAACCTTGTCCACATATATAATCCAATATTGAGATCTATTCCTGGAAAGATTAATCTGTAATGAATATCAAACATCATGGCAGCAAGTTTTACTAGTGATACTTGATAACAGAGAGAAAGAACTTGACTTGCTTTACAAAGTCCACAAAATTAAGTTAATGTATTGGCAAATATTGAACATGTTTAGGTTTATTAGTGGAGTTATTGACTGGAATGTTAAGGATTATGCTTGTATATATATTTATCCTAGCACAAAGACACTAATAATGTACTGCATGTACATGTATTAATATACCATACTAGAAGTCTAATAATGACTGTAATATTTTCAATGTCTTGGAATTTATTTACGACAACGGCTTGTTGCGTTTTCGCTAAATGTGTACTCAGATTGATTATATAACATTTTATTAAGAAAACAAAATCAAAATATTAACGCTAGATAATCTCTAGACTTGGATTCAGTTGGATTTAAACTAGGCCCATCATGTTTCTCCACTACTAATAAAAGATGGCAGTGTCTTGTTATAGCAAACAGCATACCGTAGATCAATGAAATTTCAATTTATCATAACTTTGTAAATACTGAACAGAATAGAACCAAGGTATTCATATAGCGCTAAATGATGCATCAACCCTTAAGCATTCTTTTAGAAATTTCATGAGAAACCATGACTTTGTTCAATTGTGCATTAAGACAACATTTATCTGCCAGTTTATATGATGAAAATGTGTGTTTTCTGCTGAACAGGCATTTTGTGTGGGTTTTGTTTTTTTTTCAACCAAACCAAAACTCTGATATCATGACTGTAAGCTCTACTATATACTCCCACAACCATTTGACCCTAGCATACCTATCCTAAATCAATATTAAACTGTTGAGGATATCTGACTTAACCGCCCAAAACCGCTCTAAATAGGGCTCCTTAGATTGCCCTGTTACGTTGACGCCCCCACAAACTAGTAAATGGTCCTATAATACGGAAAGCTATTCACATATCTCAAGCGGTTTGGGGCAGCAAATGATGAGTGACGAGAATAACTAACTTATCACGAAGAGAGCAACTGATCTAATCGCAGAGTGTGCGGGTTTTCACACCGGCTATGCTACAATTAGCTGTGATGTGCGGGTTTTCACACCTGCTATGCTACAATTAGCTATGCTACAATGTGTGAGCTGAACCAATAAACTGCCTGTGTTAAAATGTTCCATACATTTATACATTATACTCCCACAACCATTTGACCCTAGCATACCTATCCTAAATCAATATTAAACTGTTGAGGATATCTGACTTAACCGCCCAAAACCGCTCTAAATAGGGCCCCTTAGATTGCCCTGTTACGTTGACGCCCCCACAAACTAGTAAATGGTCCTATAATACGGAAAGCTATTCACATATCTCAAGCGGTTTGGGGCAGCAAATGATGAGTGACGAGAATAACTAACTTATCACGAAGAGAGCAACTGATCTAATCGCAGAGTGTGCGGGTTTTCACACCGGCTATGCTACAATTAGCTGTGATGTGCGGGTTTTCACACCTGCTATGCTACAATTAGCTATGCTACAATGTGTGAGCTGAACCAATAAACTGCCTGTGTTAAAATGTTCCATACATTTATACATTATGGATTTTAAAGATAAAGTATCAAGAAGATTAACAGGTTTCCAAAATAATATGGAAGGATGCATACCTTTAATTTATGTTATTTCCACAGTAAATCAAGATTTGGACTTAAAAGAATTGATATGATTTATGTTACTGATAACTGAAAATGGTATTATTTGTAAACAAGATAAAAATATACTCATTATCAAAAAAGTTTGTTTTGATCCCAGCATGTAGACACATATTTACATGTTTTATATAAAATACTCATTAGAAGACCCATAAAATAAAATCTCTATGTACATAAATAAGCATGAAGTTGTCATTGCCAGACAAACATACTTACTGCTAAAGATATGAAGCTATTGGCCACAAAACATTAAACTGTGTATTTATACATGTGTGTGTTACATAGTACTTATTTATAAACTTAGAGATTTTTACAGTAATAAAGTATTTGTGGCTGCATTAGTTTTGATTCAGTTATGGTATGTAATGAATGAAAACATTGAAGTCAGTGGGTGGGGTGGTGGTGGTAAACTGACTTCAAGTCGTCTGAATAATTATAATGAAAATACTGCTATTTCCAACAATTATTTCACCTGTGATTCTATTCAGTATAATTTCACTTAGCCCATTACAAGAATTCACACCTCCATTTGCACCCATTTCTCAAAGTATTGCTAATTGACCTATCCCTAACATTGCATAGACTAAAATTTCAGAACATAGCAAACACGAAATGAAGAAACATTAAAATATCTTCCAAAATCTTTCAGGTCAGCCAGATGCACTATTTCTTTTTACAACTTTTCAAAAGTTTTTATTAGTGGAATCTTAGCAGACACAAGTACGCCCCCCCACCCCCACCCACCCTACATTCATCGAAATAATGTCAGACATACGTTTGAAGTATTGCCACCATTTTGGCCTTCCTCCACTCAAATTCTATATGTGTGTGCCATATGCACCAAAAAGAGCAGAAATATTGTCTCAGAGCTTATAATTTTATAAAATTTTATGGTAATCCTCCAGACCTCACGCCAAACTTGACATTGTCTCCACCCCAGATCCGCCCCCTCGCTGCTCAAACACACGAACACTTCTCTGCTACTATTCTACTTCTTGGATCTGTGTAATTTCTAAGTATTTGGTTAATGTTTGATTGGTTATATTTGATTGTTTTAAAGCATTTGAAGTAGAATATAAAATGTAATATAAAAACGGTTTGAATTGTTCTTATGTTAGAGAGATTGACTGAACATTAGTGCTTGTAGACACTAAATAGGCTGCCATTTCCAAGGAGATTTCCTCTTAATGCTTACAACAAAATCTTGATTGCTTGCTTTAGATTAAATGGTTTTCTCGCATGTTCGGTCAGACATGATTAGTTACTGAGCCTGACTGAAAATGGAAAAAATATAATTGTGATTTATCTTCTTTTTGAATTTTTAAATTGTGGTTGACCACACTCAGCTTTTGACTTCTTCTATTT